AATAATATTTCGAATTCAATCAATCAATCAATCAACATCAAGATTAATTCATGTTACCCAATGATAGAAATATATTCAGAACTAAAATGAATAAAACTTTCAATCAAATACACTTAATTTATAATGATATAGAAATTCTAAAAAAAAAACAATTTTCTTCAATATTTAAACAATTTTAACATGAATAAAATTATTCCTTCTAGCCTTAATCCTTGACACTATTGACTTGTACGTTTTGTATATATTATGCTATCTCTTATCCAATACATAGGCCACAAAATTAACTTATCTACCGTAATTTCATCGTTCGATAACTACTCATGGTCATTAATGACACAATTGAAAGAAGTCGACATTAATCAATTTGACAACATTGGTCTATGATGTGATTAATGTAATGCATTCTATATAACTCTTATTTAAGTTAAATTCACTAGCGAATCATTAAAAAATCGATGCATCACTAGAGACAAGCATATATATATATAAATTTCCACTGAGAATAGAACAATTTTTTTTTCTGTTCAAATTCGTAGTTGCATGAATACACATTGTTTCTATTACACATACAGTTCATCTATTTGTTGAAACACGGCATTACAACAACAAATACTTAATAACTATTTCTTTAATGTTCATAGAGTATTACTTAAAACAATCGATTGTTTATTTTATAATGTGTGAGAAAAAAAGAAACGACGAAAAACGGAAGTAAGAAAAACAAATTAATTGAGTACTTCCTTTACAATTTCAATCAATATTGACCGATCCTGCTTTTGATTGAGTGTAAATGTAAACCTTATTTTGGCATCTTTTTCTTTTTAATTTTATCATTGACAAAATAACAACCGGAGGTATATTGTTATAAAAACATTTCATAATGTGATCTTCTCTTTGTATTGTAATTAATGTTTTTGTAAAAAGAAAAAAAAAGGAAAAAATGAACGATAGGCTTCACTCGCGATCAATCATTATGAACGGCAGCAGCTGCCAGATATGTTAATAGTTTGGCGGCGTCTATTACTCCCATAAGCAACATTTTAAGAAAGCCTTTTTCTTTTCAAGCAGATGAGTACGTTAGTGGATTGCTTGCCTTACATATATATATATATATTTATGTATGGACAGATGTCAAAAATGAACACGAAGGTCAACATTCTATTTCTATATATATATATAAATATATTTTCTCTTTCTTCCTCTTCCTGTTCGATCATCAACTACATCATGGCATTACCATTTCTTATTAGGGAAGAAAAATCGAGGACATTAACTCATGCACTGCCGCATTTGTGTGTATGTATTATTTTATGATGTAATCACATCGTTTCATGTACGAAAACATGCTTGCACTTTACTTCTTTCTTCTGTTACACTTCGAATGTGTACATGTCGTTCGCGATAGAAGAATAACAAAAAAAAAGAGAGAATGTTTATGTCTATATGTAAATAGAGGTGTCAATACATGTTTTTCAATATTGCATTTTAAATTCAATATCAACGATCATTCTACTGTTGTGTAGTTTTTGTGGAGGAGCAAATTACATACATCATTATTAGCAGTAACCTTGTATGAAAATATAATGAACGACAACTCATCAATGTCAGACGAAAGGATAAAAGAATAGAAGATCATCTTCGCTCTTTTTCTTCCCTCCTACAACGTGTTATACAAAAGTACTGCCGTCTCGATCGACATTTTCTCTTTTTTTTCTTCTTTTCCTTTCTACTACTAAAGAGATAGATAATCCTGCACACTATATTGAGAGCTTATGTATGACACAACATTCTTAGAAGCTATTATACGCATCATTATTTTTTTTCTTATACTAAATTCTTCAAAAATAACAACGATTAACATTTTAGAAATAATTCTTTAATGGACGCTGATTTAGCACAAAAACTTAGTCAACGTATACGTCGTATTGAATCAGCTGAATCATCATCTGAAACATCATCAATTAATGGTAATAGTTATGGTACAGGAACAAATGATGAATCTGATTCACCATTATCATCGTCATCAGCAAGTTGTGAATATCATCGACCTGTTGTATTTAATCCTTATACTGAATATAGTGAATTTTCACGTAAACAAATACAAAGTTTAATGCAAACATTTAATAAGTAAGGATTTTATAAAATTTAAATTAATAATACTTATTATGTTTTCGTTTTTCAAAGATATGATTTAGATAAAGATAAATTACTTAGTTTTAATGAATTAAAATTTATGATGGAAAAACTTGGTATTCCACAAACTCATCTAGGTTTAAAAGAAATGATTAAACAAGTTGATGAAGATAATGATGGAAAAATATCATTTCGAGAAGTAAGAAAAAAAAGAAAAAGCAAATTATATTTATTTAATTATATATATTTTAATATTTCTTAGTTTTTACTTATTTTTCGCAAAGCAATATCAGAAAATAGTGAAATTGAAAATGAAAAAACATCAATTACATCTGTTTTACAACAACTTTATGCGATGCTTGTAGAAATTGATGTATCAAAGGAAGGTGTTGGTGGTGCAAAAAATTTTTTTGAAGCTAAAGTAAACATTTTGTTTTTTTTTCAAAATATTTCTACATTATTTTTTTTTCTTTATCCAGGTTGCTGCTATTAAAGAACAAGATAAATTTCAACGAGAAATTCGTGAAGAACAAGAACAACGACGTCGTGTGGAAGAAGATAAAGCTCGTCGTAAAATAGCTTTTCAAAATCGTCTTGCACAATTTCAACAAACATAAAATAAATCATTTGACAATATACATTCTGTGATACATGTTATGTATATCTCTAAAATCTCGCGTGTTATCTTAAATAATGTGTGCATTTTTTTTTTGTTCTTAAATTAGAATGAACTCTAATTCTTCATTTATTTGTATTTCAATAATCAACTAATTTTTTTTTCTCTTGAGCGAAAAAAAAGAAGAATTATTTAAATAAACCAATATGATGTAAAGTAGTGCAATGTATTACGAAGGATTTGTCTAGGATTTGCATGTATACATTCGAAATGATTTTCCATCATTTCGGAAAAGCAATATCTTATTTGAAGGTCTATTTATTATGCACATCTGTTCAGCTGATGAACATATACATACATTCCACATTTCTATATCTATATGCATAGCTAGTGAGATAATAAGACTATATATAGATATATATTTAATGTAATGTGAGGCATCAGTATGATGATTTTGTTGCGAGTTTTCTTTCTTTCTTTACTTGTCAGACGTATGCATCAACAGTTGTCGTTTCGTAACGCAATGATCTTGATAATGATAAGTTAGAAAATATCCGTTCAAACGTAAGATGAAAATATCGATATTGCCCGTTTTCTAATATTTAGTCTGCTGTGTCGTTTATTGGCACAGTGAGACCAACAAAAAAAAAGGAAAACTTTTTTGTAGTTTTTGCATTTCATAATATTTTAAATGAACATAAGCTAAAAAAACATAACTACAAATCTTTTCAAACAACTGATGTCATTCAAGTCGTCGAAAGTAAATCTAGGTTGATGTCAGTCAAACTCAAGAGCATCAGTCTATATATTGGACAAAGAGTTATCAGTAGATGTTTTTCATTATCGACAAAAATATCTGGAAAGTATTCCGAATGATTTTCTTCTTTATCTGTTAATTCATTATGATTCAAGAAATATTTGACCTTACACGACTTTATCATAACAAAGTTATATTGAATTTATTCCAGATGAATAGGTTTTCTTTTCCTGAAGAATACTGTATTCTAATTATAATAGTCTATATTGTCTTCTTATACAATTTGACATTCATATAATTTTTTCTAATATTATACGGAGAGAAAATACGATGTCTTATAAATGGTAGAAAGATCAAACTTTTTCGACATTTCATTACATATATGAGGAAAGACATTATTGTTAAAAATTAATTTCTAACATCATTTTTTAAAATTTTTCTTATAAGATAATACTGTATCATTTTGTACATATGATTATAAAATATGAATAAAAAGTGTGTTAGTGGACTGATGATTCAATAAAATTATCTTAATGCATATGATTTGCTGTTGTTTCATAGAATGTTAGGACTCTACTTGTAATCTAACAATATTCAGGTTATTTTTTATTCTTTCATTTCAGACGTAGTGCGTTTCTCATAAAATGAGATTAAATATCAGAGTTATTAAAAGTAGCTTAAAACAGCTGTGCCAATAAATTGTGTGTTACCGAAGTATAACTTTTTAGCTTTATAACAGTCAAGAAAATAGATATTTTCAATCTTTTTAAACAAGGAAGATTGTCTGCCGAGGTTGGCTCACTATCACATACAAAACACTATTAGGAAATAATATTTTTTCAGAAGGATACTGCTATAATTTTAAATAGAGTAACCCATAAATTGGATGTCAAAAGAAAATTCGTCGGAAATGGGATTTATCAGTATTAAATAGTAAAGATTATGAAAACTTATCAGTATCGAACCGCTTTTCTTATTTCATCAACTAATGAATCATAGTTTTTCACTTTATCCCATTGCATATTGTTGGTGATAGCGTTCCACGCGTAATAATCCGTAACATTGAGTTCAGATCTGTTTGGTGGTCATCTGCTGTTGTTTATAATATGTACAAAATTTTCCTCACACCATGCAAACGATTCCTAATTTGTAGGTGGTAGAGCATTATATTGTTGATCGATGAAATCGTCGTCCAGCAATCATTTGTCTTCAATTGTGCATGTAGATGAACAAATTCAATATAATAATTGAAGACGTAAGGCCATTTTGAGAAATACTCAACCATGCCATCATTTATTTTGGGTACTTTGCGTTTTGGTTTATACTCCCTTGTTCTTCTGTCTGCAGCTGACTCATAATATACTCACATTCGTTTTGAAGATTCAATACATCTTCCAATGAAATATATCTTTCATCAGTAAATAGAATCCTACAATGATCTTTTTTTCCGCATGACTTTTGCATCCAATATGCAAATGATATCTTTCTTTGTTTTTGTTATAATCAGTCAAATTTGATTGAGCGGTAATACGACAAGCAGGTAAATGAGTATCATCCTCTATTATTTGAATCACCTTTTGTAGAAGACCGTTTTTTCGTACAGTTTTAGATCTACTTGGACGGTTTTTTTCAGAGCAATTGTATCTGTTTCTTTATACGAATTTTGTCATAGTCTAACCGTACATTGGCTGACTACGTTTCGTAATCGGTTGGGAATATGCACCAATGTCATGACATCATCAATCATTGGCATAAGCGTACGAGTGTGAGTGATTGACTGAGTTTCCTCTTTCTGAAGATCATACACACTTCCACATCTGCAGCCATTATTAACTATTGTTCTTCTAAAACGAAAGAAGATAATTATGAAATTGTAGAGCAACAACTACATTTTTTGTCGAAGCTGTTTATCTTATTCACAAGACGTACTCGATAAATATATTTATTACTGTATTGCTATGAAATGAATCGATACGTTTCATAGACTACTGAGCCATTGATTATGATGCATTATTTTCACATAGCCCATGTGACTATCAAACGTACTTTAGGCGCAGCTAGATGCATTTCTGTTGCAAATCTATATCGTTCCGACGGGTTTTCATATTGAAGCATGACGAAAACGCATCTAGATGCACTGATCACTGTGTTTCTTGAACGCGTTTTGAGAACATTCATAGTTTCGGAACACTTTTTAGACTAAAGACATATAAACGCATTTTTATTTTCATTCTAGAACACATTGGGACGCATTCATGTCATTTTATATCACTAATTATGTTTAATAATTAAAAGAGTTATCTCTCTTGTAGTGAACGCTATTTGATCGATAGAGTCGATAAAATGCGTTTCAAAAGATGCTTTTGTCAATGCATTGAATTCGGTGAAACGCGTTTGAATGTGCTGCTTTTCGAAACGCTGTTGAATATATAGTTATAGAGTTAGTTTAGTTAGTACAGATAAATATTTAAAAAAGGAAGTTGTGTCTGTACAAAAATGTATCCATGAGTCCAGCATGCTGTTTCTCCGTTGGAATATTATTACGATTGAAGGAAATATGGTGTGTCATAGTATTACGTTTAGAAGATAGTAGTTGAAAGCAAAAGATGACTTTCCTAGTTGATGTAGATAAACATATGAGCTTCCTGATAACTCGGTTGAACAAGAATAAGGAGCCGAAACAGACGTCTACGAATAGTTCTTTATAATACATATGCCAAGAAAGATTATTTTGGCAAACATCTTTTTAAGTTTTCAATCGTTGATGAATGTTTTGTTTTCGTTATTTCTGTGTTTAGTAGTTCAGAATCACACAAATTGATCTAAGTTTATAATAAAATTCTAAGTCGTAGATTCTATACGAAAGGGTATCTATTTTTATTGCAATTAGAATAAATCGATAATATTCTTTTTACTGTCCATGTATTCATGCTTTAATTCCTAAAGCTTTCCTGAGCATCTATAAGCTATGCAACTTGCCGCGTTTAAACGCATCTAACATGCAACATTTTCAGATATAGGAACTCGCTCAAAAACCAAAACGCATGTAAACTCATACATGCTGAAAACAAATTAATATGTGCTTTCTGACTTTTCTACCATACGATACTGTTATATGATGAACACCTTTACTTTGTTTTCAAAGAAGTCAAAAAATAATTATTACGATGTCGTCGGAATCGAGCCGGATTCTAGCATGAAGATTGTATCTCAATCATTACAATTTAATCAGGTTGAGTTTGATTTAATAGATTTATTATATTAAATGATTAATTCTATCATAATTGACTGTTGTTTACACATCTCTTGTTGAAAATATTAAACTATTAATACAACTGTATGCTTGTTTTACATTACTTCTAAAAAGTTTTAGGATGCACACACGGTGGATTATGATCTTCAACCTTTTGTTATAAATTTCATCATCTCTTACCTAGACAAATGAATAAATTCTATCAATATGTTACTTTTATTTTCAACTATTTAATTTTCTTGAATTTTACAACCACTTTTTCAAATAGACTTGTTGGTTTATCTTTATTGTTATTTATAACAAAGAATGCATGAAAATAAAACTTCTATATTGACGCAAATAAGATAAATGCAATAAAAAATTTTATTAGTTACAAAATGAAGAAAGTTGCATGAGCAAAGGAGTCTTTTTGAATAAAAACCTAGTATATTTTATTTTTTTCCTGATGCCTCAAAAAATTTTGATGCCATATTACAAAAAATTACAGACAAGATTTTTTTACAAATATTTTTCTTGTAGCGCCCTCAATTCTTAAAAGCATTGGCTATTATAAGATGCTAGTAGTTAGAAAAAAAAAGTTAATTGATACTTTTATACCACATACTTATAAATTTATTTATTAAAGAGCGAGATATTTTTCTTGTAATTTTTATTTTTTTAAATATTAAAACTTTTTATTGCATTATTTGAATTTTTTTATAAATATCGATAATATATTTATCTTGATTTTTTTGTCGATAAATATATTATTTATATTTATTTCGCAAAGTAAGAATAAAATAAATTAACAACTCTATTTGCAAACTTGTAACAAGTAATGTTATATGAGCTAATGATGCGATTAATGAACATAGAAACAAGTTCGAGCTGTGCTCGGTTTGTAATGGACTGGCCATATGTTCAAATCTTAGTTCAAGCTATCAATAAAAAAAGTGCCACCCCATTGCTCACAGGATTTGAGTGTTATATCATGGCTCACTATGGTGAGTTGGTTCGATTTTGATGCAGAGTGATGGTTATTCTTTAATTTTTTTTTTGAGATAAGTAAACACGTCAAAACACGCTCATCTCATAACCTCATCCAAACGCAGTAAAATCTCAAAACACGTTATAATCCGTCTCCAACATAGACGAGTTTACACGTGTTTTGGTTTTGAACGCGTTCAAACACCGGAAAATGTTACACTTAGGACGCGTTCCAACGCGTCAAGTTGTATCAGTTATAGACGCTCAAAGGCGCGTTTAAAATCTAAAAATAGTTACATGGGAAGCAAGAGATTTCTGGTTATAAAATCGAGTTGCAACTAGTTCATAAAAAAATAGAAGTTTGATTCACCGCATTGCTACGATTGCTCTTAGATTGAAGGAAAGAGAACTGAAGAGCATCTTTTGCGTTCTGCCACATCAATAAGCAATCTGTTCTCGGTAGAGTCTTCCTACTGCTGCTTTATCGAACCATATTACATAAAGAATAATTTGAGAATATGTATGCAAGCTAGTGTTGATGACAGAACGCAAGAGTGAGACCTGTTATTCTGCTTTTTTTTCCGTCGGCACAGAACGTAACAGGATGACTTGTTTAGTGAGTTAAAAGGAAGGAGTCGCTTCTATAATCGAGCTGATGCCATAAAAGTTTGTAAAAACAGAAAGAGCACCTTTACTTGCACACATTCCGAGAAGTGAGTAATGTCGACATTTACACTGTGAATTTTAAATGAATTCTAATTTCTCGAAAATCGATTTAGCAAAAACTCGAACATTTTCAAATTATTATTAATCGTCGAACGATTTTTAATTTCTAGAAAATGCTTGATTTTCTGTAAAGTAGAATTTCAATCGGATTTTCTGCAAAAATTATTTCCAAACGAATTGCAAAATCAACAATAATTTTTAAAGGTGTTTCAAAATAAATTCGAATTTCGTAGAAAATCAATTTGAATTCTAGAAAAAGGGATAAGTCAACAGTAGTTTTTGTAAAAATCATTTAAAGAATGACAGCTATAGAGTCATTGTTTATTCATATATATATATATATATACGTCAGTCAAAGGTGTCGGGAATTCTTTTTTCTCCGACAACTGCAGCAAGTATGTGAGTAACTTAAAGTACAGCTAGCGCATACTAGTCCATCGTATAATAACGAAAAATAAGCAATAAATTATTTTTTATTGGCTACGAAAGATAGAAAATATAATTTCTTTTTTTTTTTGTTTACTAGAACTTCTGCATAGTTGATTAACCATATAAGAGCAATTTCATAGTAACTATGATGTTATTTCATTGTAAAGTTGAAAATTGATAATAGATACTGTATTTTCTAAAATATGTTCAGAATGCTGTATCGAGTTTGATATTCTCGAAATGTCCATATAAATACAATCGTGATTTTCTAATTAGTGAGCCGAAACTTGAATTTCGAATCTTCTTGAATATTTTATTTTCAAGAAAATAGAAACTCATTCGCAAATTTGTGTGGACATTCCTAAAATATCTTTTCCTGTTTTCTATAATGTATTTTCTATTTTACTGTGAAACAATATACAAATGTCAATAAGAAGTTTTGTATTAATAGGACAATGTTCGATATCACAATTATTTATCGTAAACTGATATCAAGGTTTTGTGTCTCTCTACATCTTGCATGGATAGACGAAAAACTTTTTTCAAAATCCAGTTTTGAAATGTTTCTAGTAGAATCATATGGGTCAAACTGGTTAAGAATATCAAGAATAAAACTATATTTCATGTCGAAAAAAGGAAAATGCTAGTGAATGCAGGGTCTTATAAGATTATGTACTTGTTCCTCAGATTTTTGTGATTGATACATTAAGCATGAAACATATTCTCATAGAACTCGTTCAGTACAGCATTTTTTGTCACGGAACATTATCTTCAACATGAAACTCTGAAAGATGTTATACCATCAACTTTTGACCATTTTGCTCTGATTCACCATTTTTTTCATTTTTATACAGCGTTCTCTTCATCTACCAAATAGGTTATTTTCGAGTGTAATATAAAAGTTGCATTTCAATCTATTTTTTTTTAAATGTCACTTCTCTCAATTGAGTCATCCTGTCATGACGACCTATGTCACCATCATGAATGTTGGCTTTTAGATTTGGTTATCTCAGAAGAATATTCAGGCCTCGAGACACCCACACACAAAATATTAACCTTATCTAACTCACCAATATGGCGTGTTTGGGTCAATACGAGATCAGGAGCTACTGTACTAACAAGGACCCATATCCACTCTCGAGTTACATCAGAGGCAAACACATAAAACAGTTATTGAAGAACCATATTTGTAAATTTAGGTCGTACTAAGAAATTGCAAGTCAGAGACAGATACCGAGACTGCCCAGTTACACATTTTCAAATAGAGGATAACCTTTTACATTAAACAATCAGTTCACGTTGAATTCTCAAAGATCGAAAGAAGCAAGGAAAGTCTCTAAATCATATTTTTACCTAATATTTCAAATTGGGAGTAGTATTGTTTTTTCTTCAAAATTGTATTTTTGATAGCTGTATTGTTAATACTCTTAGCTAACATGATCGATTTCATTTTACTAGAAGCATTTTAAAATTAGATTTTGAAAAAAGTTTTTCATCTGTCTGTGCAGAGCGTAGAGAAATCCAAAATCTCGATACTATCTTACGATAAATAGTCGTGATTGTATGGTAGGCTATTCCGATCTGTTGAGTGTAGAGGCGATTGTATACAATCGTGTTGTCTTCACCAATACCAAGACAGCTTCATATCCACATCTACAAGATGGGTAATATGTATGTCATGAGATCGATTTCTTGTCTCAATATTTGTTGAGACTAAATCAGTTGACTAATTCCTTACATTAAACGAGCATTAGTATTGAGAGTCATAAAATAGGCAGGGAAGACTAAAGCAGAATACAGAAGTTGCGTCATTAATACATGCACAATCAAATTAATCCTGTGATAGGTTTTTCGTGGGAATGGACGATTTAGGACCAGATCAAATACAAGTTTTGCCTGACAATGATCCTACACCAACGTCACCAACTGGAACGACCAATCAATCACGGTATCTTCAATCGCGTCTGAGTCCTCCGAAAAAATCAACTCCAATGAATAAGGAATCTGATTTTGACAAAGAAATGGAGGTTTCACAAGAATCTCTGTTATCCGACACGCCAGTTGAATACGGCTACTTAAAACATATTCAAACATACAAAGGTTTATGCAACCCAAATGATAAGTCTCTCAAGAAAAAAGTCAGGTAATTTCAATTTATTTGAATCTATTCTACCAATCGTACGAGAGTTGTTCAATATAATTAATCTTAATTTCATTTTGTAAAAATGATTAAGTATTGTGCCATTACTAAACTATAGAACTGGTAAATCAACACTCGTGCACGCCACAGAAATTCTATAACTCGTAATCATTCAAATAGAAATGGAGACTTCTTTAAATATAGAAAACTGATCTGAAACATATTTTTTAATTGGGATAGATGATTCAGGATTTCTCACATCAACAACGAATATTTTGATCTTTCAACTAATGAATTTTTCTTACGAGTCAGACATTTTAAAATGCTTCAACCGATTAGATAATAGAATTTTTCTAATAAAATAAAACTTTTTCTATGAAATGAATGAGTGATCATCACGTTTCCATTATGTACTATTCGTATCAGAGAGGTTGCGCGAAAGATTAAATTACTCAAGATAAACCTTATCCTCAGTTCTGCTACAAGACCTCTTGTATTAAGTCGAAAGCATAGATTTTTTGTACTCGTTATCTCTTTCAAAGTCTGAATGACTACTAAGTTATTCAATCAGTTTAGATTGTATTAACTTAGACTATCTCGCATCAAAAAAGTCCGTGCATGTGAGTATAGTTCGTGGATAACTAGAGAAGCAAAAGAGATAGAGATTTGTTGTTGTCGCTGTTCAAAATATCACATTTCAAGACACAAAAAGGTCTCAAATTTTAATTGCTTAGGAATTGACTAATCTAGCGAATCCTTAGCGAAGATTCAAAAAAAAACGACATTTTGAAATCGTGTTTCGTTAGATTTAAACGACTGCTGTAGTAATATGATTATTGACTAGAAAAAACTCTAATTTCACACTACAGATCTTAAATCATCCATAAAGAGACTTACGCAGAATAAATTGATCATGCTGAGTTTAGAAATGATATTTGCTGATGTCTACTTTATAAGAGGTCTTAAATTAGTTAGTTTTGAAGTTAGAAAGTAAACTCACTACTAAACTTAGATTATCAAATATCTGTAGAGTAAAATTAGAGGTTTTTGAAAAATCTTTGCATCCTTTGACTGGAATACACTAAAAATTTCGGCTGTGTACAAATCGAAAGAGAAGAGTTTTCTCTATCTCATAATCATATTACTAGTCGTAGTTAAAATTGAGCGAAATACAGTTTCAAAATGTCGTTTTTCTAAATTCTCACTGAGGACTCACCTGATTGGTCAATTCTTTAGTGTCCTCTCGAACGGTAACAATAGCAAGTCTCTATCTCTTTTGTCTTTCTAGCAATCCAGTCGCTACTCATTGTAACAATACCGACATATCCCTTCTCTCTCCTGGTTACGCATATAAACGTGTGCTCTATGTGTAAACGACGCGATAGATTATATGAAAAAGCTGAATAAAGCGTAATACATCCACACTAGCGCTTTCTCTGTCAAAAATCGTCACATTCACATGCGTGGACTTTTTTGACGCACGATAGTCCTTATCGAAAGACGTCATCTAGAACAGTAAAAGAAGGAAATGACGACGACAGCATCAGCAACGAATTTTATTATCCGACAGCAATCGGTTTGAAGATTGATAACGATCACTGTTTTTGAAGAAAAATCTTTCTTAGTAGAATTCCTTTTTTCATCAACTGGGCTTTTGTTCTACTCGTGAGTAGTATTTATGAATAGTGTTGAACTAGATGGTTTTGTAAGAGATCATGATGAATTCTAAATAGATCAATGGAAAATAATTGATTGTTGTTCATATGTATGATATATGTAGAGAATTCTACAAGAATCAATTGGATTTTATTGGTTCGCTCGAAGCGATACTGGTGCCGAATACTAATGACGAAAATTTAGCAACATCTCGTCTGAAGCGACAAGACCGTATCATTGCAATACTTACAACAGCCGCTCTGATCATTAATATTGTGTGTTTACGATTGCTAATTCCATTAAATAGTTTATTTTTCTTGTGTACAAAAGGTTCTAGTGATCATCAAAATAATAGGTGCTGTCGTATCAAAATCACTCTCGGTTATTTCGTCGGTCGTCGATGGCGTACTTGATCTTCTCAGCAGTATTATACTTCTGTGGACAGCTCGTAAAGTTAAAAAACGAAATCTCTATAAATATCCTACGGGTAATCTAGTATGAATATTGTCTTTGAAACAAAGAGTAATTGTATTCTAGGACGAGCACGTCTTGAACCAACCGCTATTCTTATTCTGTCTGTCGTCATGTGTGTTGTAAGTGCACAAGTGATACTTGAAAGTATTCAAACATTGTCTCAAGATATCGAATATTTTACAAAAAGCCACAATGATTCGTCATGCATTAAATTGCCCGATTTAGATATGAGTACATTGCCCATTATTGTCATGATATTCACTATAGGTAAGTATCATCGTTCATTATAACAGATATTCGAATGATCTAATTTCAAGTGTGCAAAGCCATACTTTTTATGCTATGCTATCGAATAAATAATCCAACCATGTCTGCTCTTGCTGAGGACAATCGAAACGATGTTGCATCAAATATTGTGGCACTTGTCTGCGGACTTATCGGTAATGTTCGACATCTTATTGAGTATAACTCATATACAAAATCGAGAAACTTAAACAAAATCGAATATCAACTATTCATTTTTTCTGTTATTTATTTTTGAATATGGATTGTTACTTTGAATTTTTCTAAAACGAGTTGACACTATTTGTTCAGCTGATCAAAAATGTTAATGAAATATTCTTTCAGAAGAAATAGAAAAAACAAAACAAGAGTATTTATCTAGAAAAGGCTCAATTAAGCATGGAATACAAGATATGATGAAAGATTGGTTTTCTTTTTAGGTTCCAATGCTCTACACAAAAAGATAAAACAAGAGGCTATTGTTGTTGATCCGATTGGTGCCCTTCTCATCTCAGTGTATATCATAACTGCCTGGACTCGACAAGCTTACAGTAGGTATCAAATGCTCTGTTTAATGAGATTGATCTCAATCGATTTGTTTAAAGCTCTGGGCCAAAGCTCGAACTCCGACCGACTCTACTCGATTCAATTTGGGTCTATACCACTTCTGAAGTTGAAACTTCTCGAGATGTCCCATCACTATTAAGCTTCTGTTTGATTCATACGTAGGGGACTATGAGACTAGAATAAACCTATGAGGATTTGTACCCATGGGTCTTCGCTTCTAAGATACTAAAGTATTACTGAATTGTCTTGATCAATCCCAGTGGTCTCCTTAAGTTACCTTGAAAACTGACTGTCCAGTTTTTACTTGAAACTTTACATGATTGAAGTTTTCAATGAGATCAGAGTCATGGCTGAAATTTCATCCTGTGCAGTAGTTTCTATCGTCAAATAAGAGTACCAGATCAAAATGTGCTTTCTACGGCACTAAATTTTGATATAGCCATATCTGACTATAGAAGCTACTGAGAAGAATGAAACTTCAGCCATTAATTAGTGTTATTGAAAACTTTAGTCGTGTAAAGTTTCAAGTAAAAATTTGAAAGTTGATTTCCAAGGTGACCTAAAGGAACGACTGGGATTGATAAAAAAGTATAGTAAAACTTTAGTATCTTATGAACGAAGGCTTATGAGCACAAATGCACGTAAGGTTATTCTAATCTCATAGCCAACTACGCATGAGTCACAATAGTAGCTCAAAAGTAATGGGACATCTCGAGAGATATTGTCGTGAGTTTCGAAAGTACTCTTATACACTTAGCTAAGTGTACTGATTTCTTCTAAATATGTCATTAATTGAAGGATAGTCAAAATAAATGAATAGCAACAGTGAAAACACTTAAGTAGGGCTTGCTTTACCTTTTTCTCTATAAACTTCAACTGAACCAAATTCGAGCCGAGTTTTTAACAGTTCAACCGAACGAAACCGAAGTAGAAAAGTTCCGTTTATTTCTGACTTTGCTCTGGACGATTCTGACTGCAAAAATAATTTTGCGTGATGAAAATGATTATGTTTTTTTTTCTATTGGCAAAGTCGTTTAAGACACTTCTATTTTCTGTGTAGAACAGGTTCGTCACCTGACTGGAATAACGGCTGAACCATCATTTCTTCAGCGTATTACTCATCTTGTCTACAATTTCCGTCCGGATGTGGTGACAAAAATCGATACTGTTCAAGCTTTTCATTGTGGCACAAAATTTTTCGTTGAAGTTGACATCGGTTTACCAGGTTCAATGCCTCTGGCTATTGCCCATGAGATCGGACAACAATTGCAAAATCAAATTGAGAAACTCGATGATGTCGAACGCGCATTTGTACACTTGGACTTTGAATTTACACATTTGCCATCTAGCGAACATAAGATCGTGTAACTCTCTTCATTAGACATTTCTTTTCAGAACTTTCACGATGGAGGGTGCGTCGGATACTGCCCCCCTCCATCAGGCTATATCGGTCATCTTGTAGTAGTCAAGATTCTATTTGGTGGCTATGTCGATTAATTTTATACGAAATAAAAGAACGTATAACATAAGTTAATGTGCTTCTGTACGTTTTTTGATACATGACCAATCGAATGAAAACATATAGGCTATTGTATAAGTTGTGAGTATTCATAATCACCCGACAATCAAAAAATGAAAGTTGTGACGATACCATGATTGACAGCTTTTTTTTTCGCTCGTCCTGTTTCTTCCTTCCATATAAGTGCAAGCTCTATAGTCGATAAACGTCACTGAAGTTAGTAATAACCGAATAAACATCTTTGCATAGGTGAGTACAGCGCTACTTCCAAAAATTTATCGCTAAATGGATTAGTGCAATGCCTGAAAATGATGTTTATTTTACTATTGTAACAAATGAACAAACACTATAAAGAAATAATAGGTGCCTAGCCTTTGTTGATGAAAATCAATTTGAAGAAAATCTGAAAAAAGTAGGTTTGAATGATTTTTATCTTAACATATTCAAATTCAATTTCGAAATTGTGTTGGTCGAAGATTCATAATTCATTAATGCATCCATTTAATCAATTCAATCTACTGAATTTAATCGATGGTTTGATCATCATCAAGACTACTTTTGAGCACG